CTGAGTTCCCAGATCTTGCATGGCTTGTTCCCAATGATCTTGCAAGCCCCGATGTTATATGACCTACTCTGATTGCAGTTGGCACCATTGCAATTGCCGATGCACTAGTAAAATGGCTATGTACCCAGCTGAAGGCTTTTATAACTGAAGAACGCGGCTTGGTCTTCCCATTCCATTCGATTATACCACAAGAGGATCGCATCCAAACTCTTCTGGAGCTCGAACAGGGGCTTGTTCGGATAGTTGTCGTGACAACAGCGGGTAATGTCGGGCTTGACATGTCAGTCAAGGACGTAATCATCCTTGACCTTCCTGCAGACTTTGAGTCAATGACTCAGTGGAATGGCCGGGCAAGCCGTGATGGGAGTGGAGGCCGTGTTATAATATACGCACCTGACAAAATACGAATCGAAAATAACTTTGACCTCTATGGTGACCAAGCCAACAAGAAGAAGATGTCAAAGAACACCCTTGCAGCATGAGTGGCTTACCGAGATAAATGTGCACCGGGATTTGTGGAGTATTTCAACCCAGGTCATCCAAAGTGCTATCAGCGTGTGTTGTGTGGATATTATGATGAGCCCTACTATCGACCAGAGCAATGTTGTGAGGCTCCTGGATGCACACCTGGGCCACCAAATGATTATCAATCAGCAACGGATCACTATATGGAAAAACTTACACGACCGAGGAACACTAATCTTGTTTCACTGCCCCGTGATGACCAGAACCTGGAGAAGTATAGTCCAGGGATGATAAAGGTTTCCCTGAAGCTCCTATGGAACTGGCGAGAGAATATCTGGTCAATGCATAAAGAAATGGGGGTTCGGGAAATGACAAACCTTGATGGCCCCTCAGTTGTTACACCGGATCAATCCCTGGAACAATTGGCATCGGGAATGCACCAAGGATATTGCAGGGAAAGATGCGAGGTGCTTGTCGAGGCTTGGGGCCGGGAATTTGGATTGGACGCTCCGGAGACAGAATTGCTGATCGAGGTGATCGAGGATTCCAATAAGAGATGGGAGAGAGAACTGGAAATAAGGGAGAAGGGGAAGGGATCTCGTAAGCGTAAAGCACTGAACAGGATGGTAGATGACGATAATGGTGCACTGGGCAAAGGAGAGACATCATCAGCAACTATACTTGGGAGGCCCCGACAAGTGGGGAAAAGGTCAATCAAACTCACCATAAAGGCTGCAAATGCCGATCAGGATGTTGAATAGAACTTGTAAGATGTAACGATGTGTCATAATAAAGAATGATAGTCATCATATCATGTATTTCTGAAGGAACATTGGAAGTACTTTCCTGATTTTTTCCTCTCCACGTGCAAAACCGTCTAGGGAAATTGTTGTTTGGTTGTGGCCAGGAGAATATTGGTGCAGCGAATATTGAAGATAGCTAAGGCCGAGATGATTGATATCAGCCTCTATGTCTGCTTGGGTTCGACCCGGGTGCACTCGAGCAATCCCAAGCATGCCCAAGAAGCTTTGTAGGAGCTCACGGAGATTGACGATGTTTAGAGATACAGCTTCCCATAGAAAACTTGAGTCAAACGCGTTCTTCCGCCCATTGAAAACATGCTTCAGCCAAAAGTTGAGGTGCTCTTGAAGAAGATCGTGCTCATGGAACTGCCCTGGCAATCCAGAAGGGTTGACCAAATAACAAGTGAGTATTGTCAAGTGGGTCTCTGGTGACAAATGCCACCAAAAGTCACACACTTGGTGAAGAAGTTCATTACCATAGTTTGGGGAACCAACCCCAAAAAAATAAAAGCAGAGCCACTGTAATCAAATGTAAGCGCTTCTATGTGGGGACAGCGTGGAATGAACACCTTGATGATTTCATATGTCTGGCCAATGTTGCCATCATGTACGCTGTAGGAGAAATAACGGCCACACTATGGAAACCCATTATGGAAATATGCCAGATAAATCACAAAACCTCATACGACAAGTAGATATGAGAAAATAGAAGGACCTGAATTTTAACGAATTTTACGAATTTTTACGAATTATTATGACTATGCACGATAAATCGAAAGAAAGAAAAATAGCAAAAATACTTCAAGCTTACCACCAATGAGACGGAATTCTCGGGGGAATTTATAGCAAATATTAAACCAAGAATTAGGACAATCGACCAAGATTTGACTATAAAAATAACCAGAGAACCTCCACGAAAACTACTTTCCCACGTCCGCACACGTAGCCAAGGACGGAAGTACCACGGAACAAAGATTCCTCAGGAACTAATGCAAAAGTCAAAGTCGTGTTTATAATAGGAAATGTAGATGTCCCCCAAACGGACCCAATGAGAGTAATTACAGGGGAAACTACCCATAAACGACGGAGATATGACTAAAACTCCTGCAAAACAAGGACAATGTCTAAAAGGCAAGCGCGAAGATTAACTAGTAACGACCGAGACAAGCTTGATAGCCCATTAGAAAGGAAGGGATCTAAACTTAATCCTCCCAAAGTTTCATAATAAAAGGATCATGCGTTAATGAGATATCCAATAACGGGAATAGCGACATCAAAAGTCCGAGCTCAGGGAAAAGACGATGTTTGCATAGGATCCATAATTAAAACATAGAACGAAATTTACACAGAAATTATTAAAAATGGGGAACTATAGATATGCAAATTTTCAGCCCAAACGGTCCAGCCGTTGTGAAGCTATACCCATGACGGGAATATAGAAATCCGCATCATGTGTAATGACACGTGAGGGTGGCGATGCGCAGGGAACCGGCCGTCGGAACCGAGATCCGCACTTCGGCAGATCGCGAAGACCAATTTCCGTCCAAATAAGGAAGAGCCCGGTCAAAACAAAGCACGGAAAGTGCAAAACAACCTTAGATCATGAGGGAAAAATCTGAAATAAATCACAGAAGCCCATATGAAAGAAATAAACACCCACGCATATCATAAATCCCGAACAATTAAACGAAAACGGCTCCCGCATACAAACGACTATGGGAACGATGCATGTGATTACCAAATGTGCACGCGAATCTTTGCTAACTCAACGAATACCAGGAAATAGGACACAATCTTAGTACCATTGGAAAGGTGGGAATAAATAAAAATTTATGATACCAAGAGCGTGAGAAAACATCCAGAAATGAATGAGATACAAGGACATGAAGTTAGAAACCTGAAAACGTGCGGGAAGACAGCTTCAAGAGGTCCAGAGTCCTAAATAAAATAGATAAAAATATGATATCTTCAAGGACAACCTACTATAACAACCAACAATACATATGGAGGATTAGAATGTGATAATACAAAAGGGAATCAGGGAATATGAACGAAATTCACGAAAACCACTAAACTACGATGGAGCATGGCGGGAATTTTAGGGAACGATGTTCTAATGAAGTGGAGAGCTATAACACATTCGTTTGAGTAATTCTTGACTACTAACAACTTTTTCTTTCAGTTTTAAACCTGAATAATTCACTCATTTATCATTTCAGTCTCATTTTAAGTAAATGTCACTAAATAAAATTGGAATAAATCAGCTGAAGGTCTCAGCACAGCCGTACGCATAATAATGCGAAGTTTGAATTCAGAATCATCGAGTCATAGCAAATTTAATGGTATATATAGGGAATTTGAAATAGGTAACTGCGACAAATACAGCGCAGTCAAGTTCCAATTAACCATTAAAATAGCTTAGGCGAGGGAGGACAATAAGAATTCTAGGCGCAGTCTGACCGCAGTAGAACCGCAGTTCAGCGCAGCATAAGCGCAGTAGAACTATAGCATGAAAATTTCATTTTTTATTCAGTTTGAGAAAAATACACTGTAAATAAATCCTGTAAATAGAAGGTAGAGCGTGAAAAAGGAAGGCGACCCAAGGAGTATAAAAGGGAGACCCTTTCTGCGACTTTTCGCCCCCCTTAGAGAAGTAAGAAAATAGAGTATTATTTTTCTCAAGCATTTCTGGTTGTCACTCCAGTGCAAAAAAGTGATATACAGTTAAGATTGCCACTGTAGTAAAAGGCAGCAATAAAGGAGAGAAATATTAAGTAGATATTTCAAGAGGAGAGCTGGTTAACACTCCAGATTTCAAAGTGTAAACACAAAACAGTTATTTTGCTACTGTTAAAACAAGCAATAAAATAAGACAAAAATAAAACAAACTCAAGGGACACTCCAGACAGAATCCAAATTCATTAACTGAATAGAATCTTTGAAACTTCACCAAGTACAAGATTAAATTCAAGTTTAAATCCAAATTAAACAATGCTACACAGAATTACACCTAGACAAATTAATAAATTTCAATAAAGAAACAGCTCCGCAGGGCTCGGTTTATCTGTAAGTCAATTCTCAGGAACTTTAAAACTAACCCATAAAAATAGAATTAGCCAAAACACTCGGATTGGTACTATATTTACAATAAATAACACTAGTACACTTCCCCATCCTAACTAAAGAACCAGGGAACAGCTTGGTGGTGGTCTCGTTTGAACCTCCCAACTGACCTTCCTTCATTCTCTCCTTCAACGCTTGTATTGAACTCATAAAGATGCAAGAGATCGCGATAAAGGAGAATGTTGTTATAAAGAAGTGTGTCGCCTTCGGGATTGTCAGCTGAAGGGGCAGGCTGCACATCCTCACTTGCATTGTTGAGGTCTGTCTGGCGCTGAGGCAGAACAGAGGCTGGGCTAGGAAGTGGTGCACCAGCGCCGTTGCCCAACCTATCTGTGTTGTGATCGTTGTTGTCGTTGTTGGCGCTCGTAATGGAAAGCCCATGGTCAAGATCAGGGTCCGAAGGTGACGATTGGGGGAAGGAACTGGGGTTGGGGGTGGGGACATTGGGCACACATGCACTAAAAAACCCTTCAGCAGTGCTGGTATTATGATGTTGAGCGTATGTCGTGGCCTCAGTAGTTCCATAGGTTGTATATATGGTACGTGCAAGCTGAAGGAGAAACGAGAAACCACACTTGTGCAAGGGGAATCCAGGCTTACAGTAAGTCCTCAGTTCTTCCAAGAGGTGGAGCCTATCAGCGCGACCTGAAGACACCAATAATTGGGGTGCTGAGTGTCCACGTAATATGGTTCTTCCAATGTTCCCATCAGTCGAAATACACGAATTGAAAGTGGGAATGAATGTTTACCTGGAAAAATGGAGAGTCATGGTGATTAGAACAACCTCAGCAAGCCGGGAACCTGGATAGAAGTCGACTTTATCAGGGTTAATCTCACGCCCCAGTCGATCAGCTGCAAAGTGAAGACCGATATCGCCTTTGCCGACTTTAGATGCCCAGTGTGCTTTGTAAATACCCTTCAGAAATGTCCATTTCATGTGCCAAAGTTCGATGACTGGAAGGACCCATTTATGAGAAGTAAACCAGGTGCGGCATGTCGATGTTTGTGCAAGCAACGTGCGAATGCGTGCAATGGTAGATTGATTGCCGGACACTGGAAACTGCCTCCCTTCCAATTCCTTGCGGCTGACTCCTAACTGACGGACAAATGCATCAAGAATGACATCGCGGTTTCCCTGAGTGTAGGCCTCATTAAAGCCCGAGCACTCTAGTGGATGATACTCTGTCTTCTCCAGCTTGATGCGGTGCTTTGCGTGCTTCTTGTATTGGAAATTGTCGACATCCCGCTTGAATCGTGCCAACTCAGGGATGTATTTGGTGAGAATCCTTAGGATATTTGCAACTGCAGCACCTTCCAATTGGTTGGCATCAAGGTCCAACTTGAGCTTCTTGAATGTGAGTTCTCCCTTTCCTGTAGCCTCGGCTTTCCGTTTGTTATGGAAATGGGAAATTCCCATTTTTAGCCTCTTATGGCCTCTGTACAGTGTATTATCACGTGACATGTATATAATAACAACCTAACCATCCATTATCACCCAAAACACCTGATGTCCATGTTATTGTAAACCCCACTGTTACAACATCTGTTACATTAATTGTAACATCTTCTCAATGTCACGGCCCCCTCCTGCACCCGGACGCTATAGAAATGGGCCAATTAGGCCCCATTTTTATAACACCGTTGGTAATACCCTGGGCCATCGAATGCTTTTGGATCCACATCTGGATTTACAATGACCGTTGCTGCCATCCCGCTTTCCAGCGCACTCTGAGTCGTCAAGTTGGCTCTCCATGCCTGGTGGTACTGATTGATGTTGTCATAAAGGAGGTGAATCTGAACTTTTCCTGCAACAACCACGCGCCCTATTGCTTTCAATGTTGCTTTCTTATCTAATCCGAGACTGTGGAGTCGTCCAATGGTACTGCTGTATGCCGTTGCGATACCCATGTGACCCAGCATGGCATGGACTGACCGGTGAGCACTAGTTGTGAATAGGGTGTTGCCAATTACTGTCTGCATCATGTTCGCTTTCACAGAATGGAAGTACGCCAGGATTAAAGCTGTCACAGTACATCCCTATAGAGCAGCATCAGCACACCAGGTAAGCAGAGCTTCTTTCACTCACCAGCCATGGGTCTCTCATGTTATTTGTGCTGCGCCCCCTCGCACCCTCCTGGGCTTCTTTTTGCACAGACAACAAGCGGCCGACGTTCCCATTGCCAACTGCTGCCATTGTGAGGATTGACCACATCGCCGGAGCTCTCTTCTGTATCAACTCCTGGGTGTGTGTGAATGAGAATGTCATCATTTTGGCCCAGGTGAGTGCTATAGAACCATCTGCATGGAGGGTGCTTTCTTTAACAAGGGATTTCATCTCACTGTTAATCTCATCCAGAACTTCACGAAGGAAATACTGCTTCAAACTATTGTGAGCCCTCACTCCATCCCAAACATTTATGTTGTCGAATCCTGGGACTAGCGTCACACCTGCCGTCGTGCATGTTGCAGAAATATCTGGGTGGAATGATGGGACGGCAGGTGGTCGTGCATATATGGGAAGGGGATGGTAAGTGGTGCTAGTTTCATGCAGTCTGTCCTGACTCAACTGATGGTGAAACATTAGTTGCACGGCATTGATGGGCTGGGTTCCCATCTTGGTCTGTCCTTGGAGAAAAGCAGCGAGTGCAGATTGTGAGTTTTGGGTTAGTTTATCTTCATTCTCTGGGTCTAAAATGATTGCAAAGAATTGACCAATCGTCAGATTTTGCTGGCGGAGGGTGGCAAGAATAATTTCAGCTCGTTGAACCTCCATCAGAACGCCCTTGTGAGTTTCCAGGTTCACTGCAGCACGAGACTCCATTGACCCACATGATGTGCATGCATACACCTGGTGATGGTCATGTTGCTTTTGGGTAGGAACATATGTATTGATGCCACAATCTCTGAGGTTAATTGGTGGTAGGAACCTCTGAGACATCTGACATCCGGTCTTCAGGGAATTTGGGATTGGTGGCAGAGGATCTGGGTAGTAGGATGAAGGGGGGATTATCCTCACTCTCTTAGGAGAAGGGTTATCACGATCATTGAGTGGTGACGTGGACTTGTGAACCTCCTCTCGTTGCCTTTTGGGATGTCCAAGAGGTGTGTTGGGATTGGGTTGAGGTTGAGGTTGATGCCGAGGTGATGGTATTTCTCCCAGTGCTGTGAAGCTTAGCATTTGGTTGTACATGATGTCAACGGGCCCTAGGGTTCTTGGGTTGGAGGTTCAGGGTAAAAAAAGTCGGGAAGTTGAGTCGTGAATGCTAGTCATAATCAAGATTACTCATTTGAATTGAAAGAACTGAATCATATGTTCAACTATATTGATTATGTAACACTGATGGTACCTTTACAAATTTGAAATCAAGACCCCTATACAGTCCTCGGAGTCCGGTCCCAGCCTCTATACTAATAGAGGCTGGTAACCTGCCTATGAGTGTTCCCAGTCTTGTATGAGAGTAGATGATCGAATTCCCATTGATCATAGTTCATGATGAAGTGAGCTATTAAGGAATTGATGATGGGTAGTCAGAGACATCAGGATGGATGGGTCAGCCACAGGTACTTGGCACTCCTCAATGGAGCATACTGTGTGCATGGTCGCAACTCATGAGATGGGTGAGGATTTCATATAGTTGCCATCGGTTACTTGGCATTTGCAGCATGAACATACCGGTAGCAGGTTGGCATCATGAGTGCACAATGAAGAATGACTGGTGGGGCCTTTGGTGACTTGGTGTTCCCAAAGGGAACTGTCAGGGACGACTCCCGGATCCCCATGACCCTCCCCTATGGTCCACAGCCTGACCTATGAACAGCCCTGTCCAGGGCAACAACTACTGTGGGTAAGGAGATGAGAAGGAAGCTAACTTCTCATCTTCCCACAGTGGCCACAATATCAGCAAAACTTCTGGGGATACCCGGAAGTCACATGAAGGGGTAGGAACCGGGTCCGGAGCATGCGGCACGTGGAGCGTGCGCATGTGCGGGAAGCGCGGCAGGTGGAAGCGGGTCCGGATGCGGGTCTGGGTCCGGGCTAGTCAGGGTGTGTGCCCTGACAGGAACATACCATTGGTGAGGGAGTATGATGATTGACGAGGGAGGGAACAGACAATGGATGGGCGGCTACTTGGCGCTCGGCATCACAGGAATGTGGGCCTCAGAGTATTCATGATCCCTAAGATTGTGGTATGATGTCGTCCGTCAAGCACTGGGGGAAGAGCTGAGTGATGAAGTCCCATAGGATACAGGTTCCATAGGATGATATACAAGTCAAGAGTCTTTGACTTGCAACTTTGAGTTCTCACAGTGAGGACCGCTAGAGGACTCAATAACCAGACTTATAGGACATGTTGAGAATTGTGCAGTCACACAGGTTCAGTTGAGTCACAAGAAGGGGTTGTTACAAGGGATGGCGCACAAGACAGTTGTAGAGAGTAGTTGTAGTTACATCAGGAAACCCCCGAGGCCGATTGACATGATTGAGACTGTTTCAAGCTCACATAATTTACAATCACTGCAATCAGGTCCCCTGATTGAGATCACACCAATCACGGGGGCGATTGAGCTCATTGTACTGATTGTAATAATTGTACTAATTCTTCTGCATATTCAAGTTCATCGGTAAAATTATTATATTCGAAAATTATGTTATGTACATACAGTCATACTTGGAAAAGAGCCAAGATGCAAGTAACTAATACCACAACAAAATGGTGCAAAGAGGAAGGGTGAAAATGCATGTAACTAAAGAAAGCAAATGCGCGCGTCAACCGCTGGACCATTTGGAACAAAACTCAGTGGGAAGGTGGAACTGAATCTCCTCTATCGAACAGGCCTAGGTTCATCGGAGACAGATGTGTGGTTGTTGAGTACATGCAGTAAGAAGTTGGGGTTAGTGAAATATGATATAATTAAAGAAAGCAAACGCGCACCTTAACCACTGGATCGTTTGGCACCAAACTCAGTGAGGAGATGGAGCTGGATCTCCTCTAGCGAACGAGCCTAGAATCGTAGGAAACGGATGTATCGTTGTTGAGTTACATGCAGTAAGAAGTTGGGGTTAGTGAAATACAACATAATTAAAGAAAGCAGACGCGCACCTCAACCGCTGGACCATTCGGCACCAAGCTCGGCATAATGATAGAGTTGAACTTTCTCTATCGAAAGAGCTCAAAGTCGTCAGAAACGGATGGGTGGTTGTCGAGTACATGTGGTAAAAACCTGGGGTTAGTGAAATACAATATAATTAAAGAATGCAGACACACACCTCAACATTTGGCACCAAACTTGGCAAAGGGATAGAGCTGGACTTTCTCTATCGAACGAGCTCAAAGTTGTCGAAAACAGATGGGTGGTTGTTGAGTAAATGCAGGAAGAAGTTGGGGGGAGTGTCATGTGTGAGAAGTTGGGGTAGGAGGATGGAAATGACTTCGGGAAGGGTTGAGTGACTTTGAAGGGGTGTTGGCCCATGAACACAACACCTGGAGAGTGGAGCAAAAAAATATCGTGTTGCACAGTAAAGAGACATCAGTGTAGATAGTGCGAGGTGGAGTGAAAAAAAAAAGTTCTAAGTTGCAAACCAATTCATTTGAAAACTGTACAGCACCTGGATGCAAACAGTGGACTCGTGGTTGGGATGATTGGGATGATTGGGAGTAGTTGATTGGCAGATTGGGCAGATTGAGCGATTGAATTGCTCTCAATCACCTCAATCGGCCTTGGGAGTTTCCTGATGTAGCGGGAACCGCCTCTGGCAGTTTCTGTACAAGATGCATGACTATCTACAAATGGAAAGGTTGTGGGAAATCCCATGAAACACAAGCAACCTCGGTCAGCACCAAAACCCCAATGGGGAAAGCTTTGCACGAGGGGGGGAAAGGAGTAGAACAAGTAAGGAGGGTAAGGTATCGGGATAGAGGGCAAAAGAGAGAGAGAGGGGGGAGCGATGGAGAGGGGAAGTCTTTGACTATGTGACAGATATGGTCGTTGGAGACTCCATATCTGTAACATCGCCCCCCAGTCTCCTACTGACCATGACGCGGTCCCTGAGGGGCATATCTCCGTGGGTCGTCTCTCCAGGGTGACCGGCTTCTCGAATGCTCGTGATGGGAATCTGGAGGGAGGGAGTCATACTGAGCTCCACCGGAAGAGGAGGATGGATGTGGGTCTGGTCCCGGGTACTGTACGGGTGGAGGGTAGGGCCGGCTCATAGAAGAAGGAGGATGAACAGTTGTTGGAGGAGCTGCCAGGTTGATGACGAATGCAGGCATGGTGGTGTTGGTGTTGCTATCCACCACCCACATAGGATTGACTGGCATCGCAAAAGTTGGCATCTGTGGAATAGACTGTGGCCTTCCAGCGCTATACAGTACCAGACTAGATGGGGAAGGATCGAGATTTGAGTCTCTCGGGTTAGGGCGGCTGTCCCTTTGAGCAATCGAATCCCGAGACATCGGTCAAGAAGACCACCTTCTATCCGCATCCCTGTTGTAGTCGGATCAACTAGGTTTGTGTCAGGGCACACCCCACCTGACCCCGCGCCGCACCGCCCTACTCCACCCCCTCGCTATCACTCCCTGTTTCTTCTTTCCCCTTTCCTTCTTTCTTTCTATTTCCATTCCATGGTCGACTTCCCCTTCTCTATGTATTACTACACACTTAACCCCACTCCCCCGATCGCCATGCCCACCGCGCGCATTCCCGCTCACAGAGCGGCACACCTCCGGGATCTCCCACGGAGATACCCAGGGGAGTGCGGCTGTGTGCGGGGATGACGTGGCTCCTCCCACGTGACCCCAACCGCATGTATATAATAGCACCTGGGGTGGGAACAGAAGAAGCAGCCTTCTTCTCAACTTCCCACTTCAGGTAAGTACTGTAGCTTCCCCTTTTAATGATAATTCAACTTCCCACTTCAGACTAAGTGGTCAGGGACGCTCACCCCGCAACGGGACCGCCGCTACGCATAGCTGACATCTGTCCCATTGAGTCCCTCGCGCTGGGACCTCACCGCTTTCAGAGCTGTCCCTGACAGTTTGGGGCAATATGAGTCCATCCAAGTTCGACGGGTTTTGTTCCCCATTTGCCAATGAGCCTGTCCTGAATGACCCAAGACTGATCCATCTCTTCAGCCAGGATACGGATGGGACCTTCTCTCTTCTCAAGGCAATTTCCTCCAGCGATTTTGGTTCAACGAACCTGAGGGAGAGGATGAGGCAGAAGAGTTGTCAGTGGAAAGGGCAGATGGGGTGTTGTCAGGGCACAGCCCTTGACCCCACTCACCCTCAGACACCCTCACCCTTTCCCTAACCACCCTCTCTCCACATTTCCCCATTCCCCTTATCCTTCCCCCCACTGTTCCACATAATGACACGCACATGCGAACCCGTGGGAACGTTCTGGGCGAGCGACTCGCCCAGAAATGTACAGCCACAACCGTGGGAACATTCTGGGCAAGCAGCTCGCCCAGAACTTTCCCACGGGTCACACCCATTATGGAAAGTCGGCAGCAAGCAGGAACTGTATAGTTCCTAGGGTCCTTTTGTGTCGGCCTCACAGGGGGCTGAGAAGCTTACCCTTCTTCTCAGCTCATTCCCTGTGAAGGCTGAGGCCAGTCCCCTCAGCGACTTCGAGGAGTTAGCACCTGGGGAGAGTACCCCAGCTTCCACACTGGCCTCGCCCTCCGGCCACTCCCAGCTGGGGTCCGGATCCTGACAGGTGTTGGTAGGATGAACACTTGGCTGCAGCACCACCACATTCGGAGGGGGTAGGAAGACTGAACTCCCCGTGCCTGGCCAGTTGGGAGATGGAGGTGGTATGGAAACATCTCCTAGGTTTAAACCCAACGTTCCTGATGTCAGCTTGTCTGAGCCCTTGTCAAAGGGAGTCGGTGAATCTGGCTGTGCCAGTTGACGCTCAGCGTCATCCATGACCACCTCTTGAGCTTTGGCGCGAGTCATGAAGCGTCCAGTATCCAGGTAGTAGAATGTCCGGCTTAGACGACGTCTCTCCACCAACTTGAGGGTAGATGGGTCCTTGTTGGATGGGGGAGGGCCAGGCCACATGAGTCAGAATTCATAGGCCTCCCTGTCTTCAGCACCAGGCAATGGTCCGGGAGCGTCTTCCCATCTGGGCCAGTCAAGGAACCAGGGAACTTCAGTCCCTTGAGCCAACAGGAGTCGATAACTA